TGTTAATAGTGCCTTAGAAAAGAGTAAGGTTATAAGAGATTAGAAACACGGAAATGGGAAGAATGTTCCACAATTTCGCACACCTTGCTGAGCGACCTTAGGAGCTAACCTAGCCAAAGAAGTTAAGAAAGTTGCCTAGACCAATACGCTTAATCTTGGCAGACCACTACAGGTTCCAGCGACCAATGACAATCTGCTTTATCGACTCCGATACATTCTTTGAATCTGTCTACAGAAACTGATTACGACACATAGTGAAAACAGATGACATGTTCTTAACCAAGTCAAGGACAAAATTCAGTTACATGTTGACGTCCCTGGGAGAGCTTTTCTACAACTCCACCGTACACAAAGAAATCAGCTTAAGAGCTTAAGGTGTAAGTCTATCGAGCTGTCATCCATCTCCAAATACTAAGTTTCCGATCACGATACATCCTGAAGACAAAGTGACACTTTCGATTATTTAACGAGGAAGTTCACCGGATCTGCTGTTTTACTGAAACGCTCACCACAATTCTGAAGCAGTGCGGTCTCCAGTGGTCCCGTCTTACTCTCCAGGTCCGGCTATACTGCCGTCAAGATGAGCTGCTTCACCGATACAGTGTTGGAGACCGCATTATTATCTTGGCGGTAAGTTGAAAATCTTGATCTTTACAGTAAAGGACATTGAGTGCTGGAGTCTGAAAGCTGTGCACAGACTTCGAAGATGAAATCAGAAATATCATTCAGCCTGCGATAAACTTACGGCTAAACGCCACGATTGCTCCGTTATTGCGAGACGCCGGTCAAGCCAAATTATGTTCACGCAGGAGATAGTCAAATAAAAGTAAAAACTAAAGTTCTGCTACCTTGAAGGTCGCCCTTCTTGAGTAAAGACTTTGAGTAATAACCCCAAGACTATCCCTTCAGGATAGCCTCTAAGTGACATAGCCACACACTTTTTCATATGCTGTTACATCTCTGCGAATTTTCATGTCAAGCTAAGTCAAAATAGTCCTTCAGCCACCCCAAAGGTGAATACGTAATCGGTTACTCGTTGGCTGTATCAAAAAGCGCATTAGGAAGTCCTATATCAATTTTAAAAAGATACACAAACATATTCGGTTTATTTAGTGTGACTGCGACTTTGCACAACAGCACCATTTACATGCATTAATTTCAAATCACTAACAAGCAACCTTATGACAACAAAGTGAGGCAAGATCCCCATCTACTGAGTTCAATTACGTCAGTAGCAGCGCTTACCGCTTCTGGTGGACAGTTGAGGGGAATCGACTCTTTGGTTGGTAGCCACGGGTTCCATTAGCCGTCGATTGATGGTCCAAAATTTGTCAAACTGATGATTCAGCAATCCAGTCCACAACTGTTGATGATCGCGAGCTTGCATTTGATTCATCACTTGACTGCGATGCTTCAATGCATCGGCTTCCTTGAGCAGGGACATAAAATGCGTCTCAACAGCTTGACGATGCACGGGTGGGGCGAGTAGTATGTCGGTAGGATAACTCTATGCGGAAGAAAAGAGGAGAGTGAATCAAATGGGACTGAGTCCATCCAGGTGTGAGTGGAATTATTATCGAGGAGTACTTTCTTCGCGAACCGTTTCAGTTTCAACAAAGCAGTAAATAACGTTTGAACCAACGACTGAAAACAGATGAATTTGGAACTCACAGTGAAATGCACGGTTATTTTCCAGGGTATGTCCGTTTCGGTTGCAAAGAGGTCGAAAAGAAGCCCGACCGGATAATGCCTGAGCATTTAAATAAAATTAGAGAGATGCCGAGACAGTAATGCGCACACGCACACGCATACACAGTGGATTAACAATATGAATTTAGGTCAAATTCAAATTTTTATTATTGGGGAACCCCACGGTTGGCATCTATTGGATTAGGAAGTGAATCGGAAACACGAACTGATATGGTACGTTGGCGAAGAAACTCCCCGATCCAGCCAAGTACGAGTCCACGGATCCCATAGTTATACAGCTTCCGTATCAGTATTTGATGACTTACTCTATCAAATGCTTTAGAGAAGTTCAGGTAAATAACATCTACCCCTTTACCTTGGTCTACAGCACGAGTCCAATCGTCACGAACCAAAATCAAGTTANAATTTTTCGAAACCCATGCTGGGCTGGGGATAGTAAGTCATTTTTCTCCAGATGATCCATTACAGAATCCGAAGCAATGGATTCCATGACTGGAAGGATAGTGACGGGTCGGTAATTGGCTGGGTCACTACGGCATCCACCTTTATAAATTGGTGAAATGACAGCGTTTTTCACACTTGAGGAAGCACGGTATCTTCAAACAGTTTTTGGTATAGCCCACTTAAAGGACCGGCAGTGACTTTCCAGGTTAATAAGGGCTTATGGATGAATGTTATCTAAACCCGGCGATGAGTTCTTTTTCAAAGCCAGGAGCTTTGCCTTTATCATTTCGGAAGAAAAGATGTCTGTCAGTAATGGGTGAGGAATGTTCCATCAAGCGGAGAAGTACGAACCCAGTGTTACTAGGCGCACTGACCACTTGAGAGTACTGTAGTCTAAGCACTTCTGCAGCCTCCTTGATTGTCACTGAAACACGTCCTGCTGAGTTTAGTATCGGAACGCCGTGTTTGACGTATATGAGGCGAACACGACGCTGCGAATTCGACCAAAGTCGTGCAGGGGCAAGCGATGTGAAGTACACCAAATTGTGCCTTAGAGATCAGCTCCTGGGTAAATGTTACCTCTCGGGTGGCCATGGCAACCATGCCTGCAATGAATCGTAGTAGTCAGCTAAGTTGTTACCGCCCCCGATACGACTGTTCTATTGGAATGCGATAAGGAAACAGAAAGGACCACTCGAGATTCTGCCAGGATAAGGGGCAAAGTTCGACAGTGAATTTAGGCCATTGACAACTCATGTGTGATTTACCACTGAAGATATGTACTTCAACCTCTACTTATGACTCCGCTAATGTATACAGATATAAACCATATAACAGCCATGAAGATCAAGCGTCTCAAATAGCTTCGCCTGAGGAAGACCTATTTACAGCCTCTCCAAGCAGTTTAGTTCAGTTATTACAATCATTAACCACGCACTTTCGTGCGCCGGTTTTGGTCGCTGTCTTTTGGTTGTTCATTTGGATAAAATAGCAGAATGAGGATTAGAATGTTGAGAGCAAATTCAAGCGGAAGATATCACATTTTCGTAGACTGAAGTTACAAGAATAATGAGTAGATACATGAGCGCCACTGTTTGCGACACCCAACCATATCGTTCAGTGTCTATAACCACCTCTGGGTCCCCAGCCAGGGACCCTAACAGGACCTATGTGACACAGTCTTCTGGTCAGGGTTTTCATACCCTCATGCAAGGCCTTAGCTTACCGCCCTTTATTTTTTTCCAACCGCTACCTGCCTCGCCAAGCATCGCTCGCCGTGGCAACCTATCTGCTGACATGCGTAGCACATGTCCCAACCAGCGTAACCTATGGAGGTTGACTACCTGTACCAGTGGACGACCGCGATTACCTAAAACTCTACGCCTTACTCGTCTGGGTTCCCCACCAGACTCGTGCAATGCACAGCGGTGTTCGAACACCGACAATCTTTTTTATCCTGTACCCGTAATGGCCAAGTCTCTGGGTCGTAAAGCAGAACTGGCCGAACTGCTGCAGCATATACTCAACCCTTCACAGACAACCGGATGTCGTGACGGCGCCACAGATGTCTCAAGTTGGCAAATG